GTCGCAAGCGTTGTCCTAATTGGTACGCAGAACATGAGTTTTGATTTTTTTTCACGTTCTCGTTGTGCACGTTGAGCCAATGCACCTTTTGATAACACATTATCATTGTGTGCCTAAAATGAGAATATTATATAATTAGATGCATAAAATGTGAAGATTGTCCCATCTCTTGCTTCCCTTTTATCATGTATTTGTTCTCAAAAGTTTAACTAACTTTTCTCCTTCGCTCGGTTGAGTTGTTAGTCACATAAGAACCAATGCGTGTATTGATAAAATTTTAAAAGGGAGGAAAAAAACTCATGGAATTTCACCAAATGCCAAAAAGGCACTATCCATCTAGTGTATACCCGTGCCTAAAGGCACGGTGTAAATAATATTGGTACACATATTCTACAAAAATCAATTAACATAAATTATTAATATTGGAATCACATCCTTTACAAAAAAATTAATTCAAAATGATAATAATTTCATTGCTACAGAAATAAATTATAAGTAAAATTAAAATTAAAAAAAAATCTATATTATATAATTAAAAACTTCATTTCATTTCATTTTTCATTTTCCTTTCCCCATAAAAAATAAATAGAATATATAATTGAAATTGAAATATATTTTTAAAATGATAAGAAAATGCATGCGAATATAAGTTACTTGTAGGCTTACCTCACGAATGCGAATAGTATTAAGGTCACGCTCATCGCGGACAACAACATTAACATTTCTTTCTTGAAGAAATTGAATCCATATATACAAAAACTTTAGAGTGATAAATAAAATTTTGTACACATAAATAAGAAAAAAAAAATCATTTCTTTCCTGATATTACCGTTCGGCGTAAGTCTTCATCCACCTATAAAGTATGAGGGAAAAAACATTTATTAGAAGAAAATTAGATATGATAAGTTTAAAATAAATAAATAAATAGGCCTTGCATTATAAGAGAGGTATTTAAATTTATATGGAGGGAGAAAAAAAAAAAAAAACTTACTTGATCGAAAATAGTAATATTGTCCATAACTATTGTACTTCAACCTGAAATGTTTGGTTATATAATTATGGTTGTTCGATGATGTATTTTAACAATCACATTAAAATGATAAAATTAAAATCAACCCTAGCAACATGAAGAGTATTAAAATGGGAACACAACAATTGTCCAAATTTGAACTCTTCTCTTCCCCAACTGACTTCAATTTTATAGTGTTGAAATTAAATTTAAATTTATCATTATCATTTAGAAAGTCCAAACATAAATGTATGCCACCAAAAAAAAAAATGTTTAATCAACAATTTATACTAACTCTCAAGTAAAACTAACCCAAGCAATTTATACTAACTCTCAAGTAAAACTAACCCAAGCAATTTATACTAACTCTCAAGTAAAACTAACCCAAGCAATTTATACTAACTCTCAAGTAAAACTAACCCAAGCAATTTATACTAACTCTCAAGTAAAACTAACCCAAGCAATTTATACTAACTCTCAAGTAAAACTAACCCAAGCAATTTATACTAACGCTTATCTTTGTGAAGTGTGGATATAGCTTATATGCTTATCTATGAGTGTGGGATATTGTTGTTATACATATCTGTTGAGAATGTGGATATAGCTTATATGCTTATCTGTGAATGTGGGATATAGTTTTTATACATATCTGTTGGGAGGATGAGAGAGCTAATATGCTTATCTGTTGAAAAAGGGAAAATGAAAAGTAACTCGGACTCATAAGTCGTATGACATAAATATTTGATTTATGTGAATGTATCAGTGTTGGCCATCTATCAATTGCTAATCTTTTAGTCATTGTTCATGGTTGGTTTAGTGTATTTCTACTGGGCTGTGGCTCACCCTATATGGGAATATCATTTTCAGGTACAGGTAGCATGCCACCTCCAAGGACATAGCTTGGGAGGCTAGAGGTGGACACACTTTTGTCGTTTTGTTTTTGAAGTATTACATGTAAATTCATGCCAAGGGCTAAATATGTAAACGAGTTAGTACTCTTTTGTTGTAACCAAGTGTTAACTTGGAAAGCTGTAAGCCCGTAGGGCATTTTGCTTTTGTTGTTAACATGTAATACTTTTGTAATGAAACTCTGATGAATGTAAGGTTGTGGGCCTTTTATATGTCAATGCATATTTATTTGATGGGTTTAATGTAGTTATTTTGAGGGCGTTACAGCTTGGTGTCAGAGCGTACCGGGTTCGAATGCTTTGGGTACGTGGGAAGTGATTAGGATCACAGTGGGTTTGTCTCGCTTGATAGAGACTTAGATGTAGTGTCATATGCTATGTGCTTAATTGATAACATGCTTATGTGACTATGTGGGTATGGGATTTAATTTCTAGGATGTTGATTGGATCCTTGGGTTTCTGCGAGTCTTGTTGGAAAAGCACTTGATCAATGCTGTTTCTAACCGAAACTCTAGTAACGCCTCGGGACTATCATTATCCGGAAATGAAATTCGTAAGTGCTTATGTGTTTATGTGCTTACGTGGAGTGAATTACAGTTGTCCATGCATTAGGACGTGAGTGTTTAGTTTTGGCACATTTGTTAATGTGCTAACGTTCTGTATTACCTTTATTAGGATGTCAGGACGAGGAAGAGGTGCTAGGCGTGGTAGGCCTGCGAGGCAGGAGGTATCGTTACCGGAGGAGGTTCCGGCAGTGCAAGAGGGAGTTGGTCTGGCCAATGTGGCCGAGCCAGGGGGTCAGCAGGCCATGGGTGCCTTGGCAAGAGAGATAGCAGGAGCCTTGGGTATTCTTAGAGCTGGGAATCAGGCAGCTGAGGCAGGGCCTTCTTTCTTGAAGAGGGAGTTTTTCCGATCTAATCCGGATGAGTTTATCGGGGATCCGAAAGAGCCACTGAAGGCGGATGAGTGGCTAGAGCAAATGAGTAAGACGTTCGAGATGCTTGGCATCGAGGACGGAGCACTGAAAGTGACCTTGGCATCCTTCCAACTGAAGGGAGATGCGGGTCAATGGTGGAAGTACGAGAAGGCTCGTGTCGGTGGTACTTGGGAGGCGTTTGTTAATGCTTTTCAGGAGAGGTTTTTGTCTGCAGCAGCTAGGGAGAAGCTGAGAGATCAATTTAGCCGGCTTAAACAGCAGGGCTTGTCAATGGCCGAGTTTGAGGCTACTTTTACCAGTCTGTCCAGGTTTGCACCTGAACTGGTGGCGTCTGAGGAACGCCGTTGCTATGAGTTTGAGCGGAAGTTGAGGCGGGGCCTCTAGATGTCGAATCATTGATGAAAATGGGATTGGATATAAAAGCAATAGTCCAGAAAGTTCAGGAGCAAGAGAGAGAGGCCATGATAATTGGCTGCAAACAGCAGAAGCAACAGGCTAGAGTCTTGACTCTTGGTAAGTACTGTGCCTTGGACATTGAAACAAAAGTCCAGGAGATACAGGAAGAGGAAGCCTTGTGGACAGATTTTGTCTATGAAGAGGAGGGCAGAGATATTGAATTGAAGAACCTGGGGGCAGAACCAAGCTTGAAGATCACTTCAAAGGTAGAAGAAACCAGCCATTGTAAGTGTTATTTTTTATGAAATACTTCAATTGTTCTTCATATTACTGTTATTTCTCTTAATTTCTCCTAAGTCAAGCCACCAGTAAAAGTCCTCTTCATTGAGGCTGAAAAGAACTAAAACACAATCGTCTGATAATTGGTTGGCAATCACAATTTCTGTAAGGACTGATTGATCCTTGCTGGCACGCTCACATTCACAAAACTACCCTTCGAAAAGCCAAAAAGCCAACAACTACTTTAGATTCATCTACATTTTTCCTTGATTAATAAATGAATAAGATTAGCTTAGTGGCTAATTATGTATTAACTCAATTAAACCCACTTAATCTTGACTAATTACAAGTAACACTTGGTTTAATTAATCCCATTAAACCCAATTAAGTCTTGATTAGCACATAATTAAATTAATCATAACTAATCACAAACCCCACATAATTTAATCAGTCTAATTTGACTTCCATTATAGTCCAATTAATTATATTTAAATTTATCATTCTGAATCAGATTTTTAATCAAACTCCCAAAAGGTTTCAGATATTAAATTAAACTTATTTCCATCCTCAATTTTGGTTTCTTAAATCATTTAAGCCTTCAATTTCTGATTAGATTCAAAATTTTCCCAATCCTCTTAACTTAATTAACTCTAATTCGGACCCAATTAATCAAATCTCAATTTTATAAATCTGAATCGGATATTTAATTAAACTTCCATATGGTCTGATACTCAAAATTTAAAAATTCAATTCACTATTTGCACTTTCTTGAGCCATTTAGGCTTTCAATTTCTAATTCCAAAATAAATTCTCAATAGAACCATATATGAATCAATCTCCATAATTTTCGTAAATTCCAAATTAAATTAGAATAATTAGCAATTAAATTTCAAATCTCCTCAATTAATTAAGTGCTAATCATTATACGTGATGGGGTTGTTACATTTGGGGGGGCTCCCCCAAGGGGGTTTACCCCCCGGCCGACTTTTTTTTGTTGGGTACTTTCACTATGGCAACCCAGCCTGTTCAAGCACCACATAACAAAAATGTTACCCAAAAAGATCTATCACTGCCTAGCCACAAACTTGTCCAACAAGCCAATATATCTGCTGGCCGGCCAAAATATTTGTACGGCCGGCCAATATATCTGTCGGCCAGCCAAAAGAGCTGTTCAGCCAACCAAAATCCTTTGCAGCCTGTTAACTTTTTTCTGGTAGTTTTGGAGCTGTTTTGCTACTGTTTTGGGCCTGTTTTGGTCTTGGAATATATTTGTTTAACATCATTTGAGCCTTCAAAGAGATAAATTAAATTGATATGGATAAAATATAATATATTGCTCAATTTAATTTATCAAGAACAAAATCAAAACATAATCAAATAATCATCAAAATACAATATGGCAAACAAAAATGATGAGCCTAAACAAGGGACATAACCGCCAAAACCCCAAGACAACAAAATCTAAGTCCAAATAACAATATCAACTTAACATTCTTAGTTTAAAAAAAGTTCCAAGTTACAAAAATCAGTCTTAACCAGCCCAACACAACAACAGCGTATAAACAGATTACAGCAGTAGCAAAGAGCAGCGGTAGCTCAACAAAAAGACCATCATACAATATATTGCAGTAGATAAATAGATTGCAGTAGCAGACAATACCAAAGCTATAATATTTATGCATCACATAATATATTACAAGTCATATGGCAAACAAAAAACTGCCACATTCAAATATGACATTCCAATAGCAAAGAAACCCACTCCATCTTGTCATTTTCATCTAAACTGAAGAACAAGTCAATTTTGTCTTCATCTTTCACTATCATACACATGCTGCCATCAATCTTTGGGTATTACTCATTGGCAACTTCAGAAGTTCTGCATTAATCAACCTTCTTTGTTAGGATAGATCATACGAATATCATATCCTATAAGCAATCTCCATCATTGTAGTATTAGTATTCTCAATGCATGATCCAAGATTTTTTGTCATCTCTGATAGTTCAGTGGGAATCCTCTCAGCAGGTCGAGGCCCTTTTTTCCCAGTTTTAGTAGAGTCAACAGGCTGGGAACATTACCTGCAGTAGACATTGAGTAGTCTGTATCACCCATGTTCATGCTAAACTATTCAACAGGAGACTGTTCTCCTTCTTCTGTAGTTGCATTTGCATCCTCATTTTCCATGGCTGCAATTGCATTAGCAAGATCCTCAGCTAGTTCACCAGTCGCCCTATCATTCCCAAATAGAATAAGCCAATCTTCATAGAATGAAATGGCCTGTTTCGCATCCTTTTTGTATCTGGTACCCTCTACATAAGTGATTATCCAATTATTAAAAAGAACATATTGATTTATAAGTAAAGAGTAATGCAAATAACAACATAAAAATGAGATTTACCCTGACATAGTTTTGTCATACGTCATCACTATTAACAAACACCATCTTTTGTTCATCATCACAACCAAAACCACTTATCTTTAACATATCTTGAAGAGTGTTATATTGTTTCCTCCACAACTTAATCTTTGAGTCGATGTGAGGAGTGGCTCAAAGATCAGCTCCAGGAAACGCACTTAAGATCTTCTTCTCACATTCATTGTAGAAGCTTGCCCTAAATTGATTATTATCAAGTTTCCACTTGTGATTACTTGCGGTTACATCCTTCATGGTTGTAATGAGGAAGAGTTCCTTACGGTGATTTCAAAACCTTCGAGGTTTCCCCTTCTTATGAGAACTAGTCCTACTTGTGTCATCCATACCTATACATATGTATATCATAAGTTCAAATCATAACACACATGTCAATCATAAATAACAAATGAACTTACACAATATTTGTTACAATACCACACAAAAACTAAACAAATATGGTTTGAATTACATGTCATAATAAACTCTCACTATTATATAAAAATCATCATACAACACTAATTTATTGACCTCTGCTTGCTTGCCATTCATTGAACATTTGGGTTGCCAAGGCAATTCTTCATTCACTCTATTGATCAGATGCTTCAACAACATCAATCATTTCATCTTCTAATTCAGTAGCTGGAGGAGGAGGATTTATTTTCTCGTTCTCATCATCATCAAGATCCAAAGGCATTTCACGTTGTATAAAATTGTGAAGAAGGAAACATGCAGTGATAATGCAAAATTAGTCTTGATTGGAAAGTAAAAATAAGTCCTCAATATTGCCCACCTTATTTTAAATAGCCCAAAACACCTCTCAATGATGTTATGAGTAGAAAAGTGCCTCATGTTCAAAAACTCTTGTGGAGTTGTTAGGGAACCCCATTCTCTCAATGTGGAAAGATGGTAACGTTATCCTCTATATTGTGTAAGAAGACCCTCCCTATTTGTGTAACCTGCATCTACGAGATAGTAGTGGCCTGTAATTATGTAAGATGGTTTCACTATATATGTAACAAAATAATTGTTTAATATAGATGTAGTGTACTTATATATATAACAATATATGATTATCATACTAGTAGGAACTTTCAACCGATTGGGTTTACTGACAGCATCTTTAAGTACAATCAGAAGCAGATCCTTCCCATTCAGGCAAGACATATATGAATTGCATGTCTTGGGAGCACACACCCAATACATTTGTGGCAATTTCTCCCTTTCTTGTTCTATACCTTGGTTTGTCTATTGCAGGGGCAAGAACCTTAACATCGGTTCCATCTAAAGCACCAAGACAATTCTAAATTTAAAACAATATTATAAAATTAATATAGGCAATACAAAAATATAATATGCTAATTAAGTGAAGTTGTAAATATATTGTACTTGAAAACAACTCAACTTATCATCTGTACAATTAGCAGTTATTGGTTTAGGCTTCTTAAGGAGGAGACCATGGAGGCGCAATACAGCCTTGAGAACATTATTGAAGTGCTTATTAACAGTTTGACCACTCCGCATAAAATTAAATTAAATTTTGTGGTTCTTAGTATGATATGCAAGCACATTAAAAAACATTGCTACTTGCTTCTCTAAGACGACATACGTTGAATCAGACAATCCAACACTTCGTACCAACCCACATAAAAGCATGAAAGGACGCCTATTCATCCGAAATTGGTCATGACAATTTATGTCACTATCGTTAACCAATTTATTCAAATGGTCAATTTGTTTTCCATAGGGGTGAGGTGATCTAGGTAGTTGAAACCTAATTTATTTCTTCTTGAATGCAGCATGTAAAATCACTATATACGTAGCACATGCATAATTAATGGATGAAACAACATGTTGGAGAGCTACAAATTCCTCTATGAGGTCCTTTCTCCTTTTCTTAGTGGCATAATTGTTATCCATCTACAAAAAATGAATAAACAATAAGCAGCTAAAATCAGCACAAAAAGTAAAACAAATAATAGATAATATAAAATGTTGACTATCATAAAACAGAGTGTAATGACCAAAAAGCCATAGCAGAGTGAGTTTGAAGTACAGTGGAATAGCAAATTCAAGAATGATAAAATTTAATCACCTTCATTTGTACACAGTTTATATAGCCTTTCTTAGTTCATATGAATACAGCTTAGTGCAAACATCATGCTACTACAAACAAATTCTATGACTTGACAAGCCACCAAGATTAAAATAAAAAGACAAGAAAAAAGAGAAGAGTAATAACAAAAAAATTCAACTTGCTTAAGACTAACATTTGAAACTTAATGGGATGAAGGAGTCTCTGACTCAACACTTGACTGGTTATTTTGTCAGTATTTGATTATTATCAAGCAGTTGCAACAAATCACCATAATAAAAGGAGTATAATTAATAGTATTATTGTATTTAATTTAAGAAATTCTTTTTGATGATTGGAAATTTTTAACTATGTGTTTACCTTGGAAGACAACCACCTTTCCACAATTACAATTGAAACTTTTCTGAATAAGTTCAATTGTCAAGAATTTCACGAAAAAATATGAATTCTTCTTAAAATTATTTAGAATGCAAGTTGTTCAAAATGACTATATTTTCTGAGCTAGGTAAATAGATAAATAAATATATCAAACAGACTTCTCACCCTTTCATTTTATCATAAATCACCAGGGACCTTTGCACATCAAAATGTGAAAGCTTTATGTTGTGACTTTACCCCAAAAGAGAACAATCAAATGTTTAAATGCCTTTACTTGTTAAAGTGCGTTTGGCAGGGAGGATTTTGGTCAGAAAGGAAAGGAAAAGAAATGATTAAAAAAAATAATTATAAGAAAAGGAAAAGTATTAAGAATCATTTCCTTTCCGTTTGTTTGGTAGTGACTTGTTTAATAAAATATTGTGTGTTTGACTCAATAAAATGAATGGAAAAATGAATAATTACTTCTCATAACTAGCTTTGTTAATTGTTAACTACATCTTCTTTTTTTTAATTATATTTTTTTGAATTATTTGAATTTTGCAACACCAAAACCTGTTCTTGGATGCACCTGCAGCATAGAAAGCTGTTGCTTTCTTCTCATCTTCATATAAGAGGAATTTAACTGTCCTTTATTGAGTGATATTCCATTCACATTGTATATAAAAATGAATGCCATTTACCATTTTTCGAGTAATCTAACTTTTTTTTTTTAAACCCAAAAATTGTATTGATTATTGATATTCTGTTAAATTTCTCTTTTAGCATTCAATAAAAAGATAGTTGATTTGGAAACAATTGTTTTGTTGTTTGTTTTATATGCTTATCTTTCAATGAGAAATTATTACAAACAAATTGAAACTAATTTTGATCTTGATTGGTTACCCAGAAAAATAGAATCCAGATACAAGCAATTGAAAGATCAAAGTTTGGTAGACATCTTTCTTCCATTCCATAATAACATAAATGGCCAAAACAGAGAATTATTTCTACTTCATCTCTTTCATTTATTTATTTTTTTTCACAACATATCCCGCCCATAGAAGAAGAATAATAATAATAAGAAGAAAATAATGATGAAGAACAAATCTAAACATAGAAGAGTTGGTGTGGGATATGTTATCAATAAAATCTTGTAATAAAAAATAATAACTTGCTTAACAAAAAAAAATTACCGATGCAGCCGATTCTCAACTGAATCTGAAGATCGAAAATCTGAAGATGAGAGAGAGCTAGGGCACACGGTGAAGAAGAAAGAGCTTCTTTTTACCTCTCATTCTTTCTGCTGTTGCTTCTAAGGATGAGTAGGGTAGACTGAATCTTCAGATCGAAAATCTGAAGAAAAAGAAAGCTTCTCTTTGCCTCTCCTTCCTGTTGCTACTTCTTCAAAGGATGAGATAGGACAACGATGGGTAAATAAGTAAGCACCTCCCTAATACCAACGGACTAAATTTTCAATACCAAGTATTGGGGTAGACTATGAATCCTATTATGCAAGGCCCATTTTAAGCTCTCCGACTTATCAATCCATTCTCCAAAACTATAAACAAACAGAAGCCCCACCTCTATCCTAATCTCATCTCTCTTTTTATACTCCAAAACAAACCCGGCTTAAGATCAAATGATAAACATATATATATATATATATTTTGTTTTCAATAAAATTTCATTTTTATAAATATTTTACTTTTAAAAAAAATTAAATTAAGTGAATTTTTAAAATAAATTTTTAATTAAAATACTTTAAAATAAAAACTTAAAAACAAAATTTATTATTATTTGAAATTAAAAACAGTTTTGAATTATGCCCAGCAAAGAAGAGCATTTTCACAGTAGTGGACTTGATTTTCTCTTTCATTCTCTTATTTTCCCTCCCGCCAAACATCAGCATAAACCCTAGAAAGCCCACAAAACTCCACTCCACTCCACTCCACTCCACTCTGAGCCGAGGAGTAGTAGAAGAATGGTGAAAAGCTTCACTCTCATTCAAGCAATTGCCACCTCAGGCGTCTTCTCTGCTGTTTCTTTCTGGTAAGTCCTTTGTCCTTCTCTCTCTCAGGGTTTTCTTTTTCCCTCAAATCTTGATCTTGAAAAATCGCTTTCGTTTGCTCTTCCCAGGTACGGTTTCATGTTTGGCAGAGAATCTTCTCGCAAGGAGCTTGGCGATTTGATCGAAAATCTTCGCCGCCGCAATTCCGAACCCACTTCTCCTTCGAATCCCTAAATTTGTAACTCCTTCCTTCTCTCTCACTCTATACATATATAAATGTAAAATCAATGTTCAATTTATGTAATGGCTTGGCATTGTTTTAATTTTTATTTGTATTCTGGAGGTAATGTCATTGCTTTTGAGAACAAAAATCCCACCAATTTAGGTTTTCGAGGAAAGTAGGGAACAATGTGAATGATAATAGGGATAATCACTAGCAGGTCCTATAGGTGGGAATTATTTACTCTCAAGTCTGAGTGAATTTTTTAGTATTTTATTTTATGAATTTGCCTCTTGTTTTAATAATAATTTTTTTTGGGAGACTTTTTAGATGTTTTTTGTGTTTGTAGACTGATTATTTGGTATTGGTGATGAAACTGATAAATTTGTTAAATTGATAAATGGTTGAAATATTTTGACTTTTGTTTGTGAGTTTAGATTAATTTTCAGTTTATTTATGTGTGTATTGAAATATGACATGGGAAATTTTTTTTTTATAGTGATTAATTTGTCACTGAAAGTTAGAGTAGAACTTAGAACTTTTTGATAAATAAGTCCGGTTCACAGGATTGCAAGTAATTGAATTGCATTTACCAACCCAACCAAACCAAACCAAGCCTTAAGTAATTGAATTGCATTTAAAAAAAAAAATTATTTATAGTGATAAATTTATCACTAAAAGTTAGAGTAGAACTTTTTGATAAATAAGTCCGGTTCATAGGACTGCCCCATGATAATATGACGAGGATTGGATAATGGCAATAGTAGCTGTTGAATTATTTTTCTTGTACTATTCTGTTTTGCAGATAGACCCAACCCTAAAGCATTTGTTATACGCATAAAGGCTTAGAAATTAGTTTAGAAATTAAAATTAGTGGTTTTTGGATCACGAGTTAAGTATAGCAATAGAGGAGGAGAAATTATATATTGGAGGAAGCAAATTCTTAAGATCATAATTAATTAGAATAAGGATTGTAAAATCCTTATGAAGTTAAAAGCCCTTATTTATTCCATTTCTTTCCCTGCCATACCTGTTGGGAAATTGAATAATGCATACTTTTTAAGTTTGACTAATCTCAATTCTCTCTTATACCTCTAGCTGCCACTGAAATAGTTGTAAAATCAGAATTTTGGACAGATGTAGATAACCCCACAACACGTACACAAAAATGTTGAAGAGGATAAAAATATATGTATATATATATAAATTATTAGTTTCTATTGTTGTTTCACACTTTTTTCATGCATATCTTTTTTTCTTTCTATTTTTATTAATGGATGTGAAAGAGAATATTTTAATTCACAAAATGATGTGGAGAACACGTTTGAAATTTGAACGAAGTTGCCACTAATCTGGTTTATGGCATATGCAGGTGCTTGTGTCAAGGTTGACCGCATCAAGTGGCCTGTGAAAACATCTCTGATGTGCTTCTTTGAACCAAGTGATGGGAAAGATCCTACTGCTGAGGTACTCAAGACATTTTCTGAATGTTCTCTCTCAGTGATCATAGGGCAATGTGTGTTTCATGTCTTTTTTATGTTGTCCTTGACCGAGTAGTAAATTTGACTGCATATGTTTTTTTGTTTTTTGGTTGACCCAATATACAGAATCCTGGTGACGCATTCTGTTGGGCAGAAATTAGGTGATGTTAAACAGATGTCAGAGAGAAAAAATACTTCTGCTTTAAAGGCATTAATCTATGGAATGTGATTGGACTTCAAAATTGTTTTTCTGTGGTTTTGCACATTGACTTATCGTATAAATAGTTTTGAATCTATAGCATTATACGTAACCTTTGTATTTTGTTGGCACCATGACCAATTTTATTGGGAGGAATGATTGGACTGTAATGTTTGGTTTTTGTTCATGTAAATTTTTCACAAAGGAGTTGAAGAGTGTGGGGATCTTAAAAGATTTCAATTATTGACCTTGGATATAGGACACTGAACCTTGGTGTTGGCTTCTTGGCTTATGTCTTGAACCGTGCCGTGTGATTTTTAAATATCAATCCTGGATTTGGAGTAATTAGTAGAGTTGCTCTCTCATAAACACCTGTGCGTGTGTGTATGCATGGCCATGTCTGTTTCCCTCTACGCATTTACATGATAAACTGTATTTGTTGCTGTGGACAAATTGGGTATGCCGTATTGTATTTCTTCTTAGTTGGGGGGTGGGGATGGTTGAAGAAGATGTTTGGCCTACTAGGGAGACTTAAATCTGAGCATTTGATATTACCATCAATATCCATTGTTAACTAAGTTATCTAATTGGTAGAGTGTATTGTGAAACAGATTGATTCATGTAGAGAGTTTTGCCGCTTTGTTGGTGCAACGTTTTTGTATGGGCCTGATACTATAATACATGATTTTTCTTTTATGGAAAATAAAATGTGGTTGTGTTCATGTAACTTTGGACATCCAAGTTAGCAATGCTATATGGAGAAATCGTCACAAAAAATTTTTGAAGGGGGAAAAAAAATAAAGCACTCTTTATTTGAACAAATTTAGAGGAAAATGAAAAACAATAATTAAATGCTTAAATAGAAACAACATACTCATTATTAATCATGTAAAGAACAATGTCTTGATTAAGTTTTCATGGGTCATCAAAGTTCCCTCACAACAATGAGCCTGTGTCAACTTCATAGGCAGGATTTTAAGTAACGACTGTAGCATATTGACAAAACTTAGCAAAATATGTTAAATATTTTTTGAATCTCTCTTCTTCTTTTCTAGTCTAGTATATATTAGAATTTTCACTATTATGCATGAACACGCACACGCACACGCGCGCACACATATTTACACAAGAGCAGCCTCCTTTGTTTCCTTCACATTATTTTCTGTTATAAATCCAACGTAAAGGTTTGTTCTGCTTGAGTCACTCTCTGGAAGTCTTGTGCGACCGCCTTCCGACATGTTCTTCACGAATTCCACCAATTGCCTCCAATTCTCTCCTTCAAACAACTGCTTATTCATTCTCAAATATGTAAATGCACACAATCCATTTCCAGAATCTGATCTACTTGTTGCTAAAACCTGCGAATATGCACTTGCGTCATACCTCTCCAGTGCGTTCTCTCCAGCAAGTTCTGTTCCTGCAGTTTTAGTTGCCATCTTTACTTGCCGAACTAACCCCTCTGGTGAGCAGTTTGCGTTCTCTGGCTGTTCTTTATCTCTCATTTCCATGCACGTAAAGTTCAGAATGACTCCATGTTTACCCAACATCCTTGCTATTGGCAGGTAACCATCTCGATACGTAGTATTGTAGTATCCAGCTGTTAGTTCGGCTGCATGGGATCTAGTTCCGTAGTGCCAATGAATTCCAGCTACTTTTCCAGATAGTTTAGCGCCAGTTCCTTGGAATATCCCTCTTGCAGCTGCTAGGATTCTGTCACCATGCTCTAGTAGCATCCTAGAGTACCATTCCAGGAAGAACTGTCCATACTCATTTTTCCAAGTTCCTTCCCTTTGGAAGAATCCAGTCTCTTCAGGGAATTGTTTGTATTGCCCAGAATCGTGAGGCCCATTTCTTCCCCAGTCTTTCTTCCCGATTGCCTCTGCATATGCTTGTAGTGAAGCCTTCATGTACTGTTTTGACACGAGCTTGTTTAGAAAAATACTACATACAAGAATTTTCTTTCATTGACCTTTTGATGCTATGATTACAGATTTTTTTTGTTGTTGCAATAATTCCTTGTTTACAATAAAAGCATGCAATTTATCCTTTGACCAATTTTTAGAATTATGGACCATTAGTTGACAAATAATTCAAATTTGAGGCCATCCCATGCGAATGTGCATTAGTGTGGCTAGGACTTACCTTGTCATAGCATTGAAATTCTCCAATTCCTGGAAACTTCCAAGTTCCGTTGCTTTCTGGATAGGACGGATATCGGAGCTCTCCACAGGGGCCCATCCCCACTTGAATTTCCTGCATTAGAAATGGAGTTTGAGTTTCTAAAGCTGAAAGATGTTATGTCCTTATCTGTTGTAAGGATACTGAAAGGAGAAAATCAATGGGTCCTGAAATATGATATTTAAGCATAGTTTTAAGATTGTTGATGGTCCACCATTTGGATTGCATAATCCTCATGGATCCTACTATGCTGGCACCATGTGATTGATTATATTTGTTAATAGCATGTTTCATTTTCTTTTTTCTTGGGTATTTTTTAGAAACTTAGATCTGACCCCTCTTTTGATAGCCAGATCAAGTATGGTCAAGTGACTGTTAAATCTGAATCTCAGCATAAAAAGTATAAGAGTCTAGTTTTTAACGGGTTCGTTGGGTAGATCATGCTTTTAAAATGAGCTTGATGATGATTTCAGTCAAATTTATTGAACAATGACTAAACATGCGAGAATATTTATTTATTTTTGATTGGCACCAGGGTGTCCAGATCAAAACCCGATTAATCTCCAGTGGTGCACAAATCCTTGACAAGGAGTTTCCCACAAGTGTACTACAGTTAATTCAAGGGTTTTTCTCCAGTCTGATGGCCCCAAGGAATTGTTAGCAGCTAAGAGGTTTTGATCCCTGAACCTAAGAGGGAGTACACCCCCAAGACCCAAGGGCCTTGCCATCAAGCCAACCCCTTGGGGTTGTAAACATGTGAGAATATTCAAGGAAGAGTATGCTAATTGCTTGAAGCTCATGCAATTCAAGTTATTTTTTCACTACGGGTTGGCTTGGTGGATAAGGTGTTTCGTTACTGGGTGGTTGGGATATCCGGGTTTGAGCATTAACGCTACATGATGTAGCTTCATATTCCCCTAATACCGATTGTAAATATAAAAATAAAAATAAAAGTCATGCAATCGAGCTGGTTTCTTGGCATACACAATCTTGTCAACAGGATCCATTAGATACTGGATATTAGACCTTTTCTATGTGCTTATGTAGTTTGCTTTCGGTGGTTACTTAATCATACTGATGCTTATTAATGAGGAGGTAAACTTTTTTTTTGCCTTATTCCGAAATATGGTATATGGTCTTCACTTCCATGAAATCTTCTATTGTTGCTATTTGTGCAAGAGTTGAGATTTTCAGAAACCCTATTAGTCTCATTGGGGTGTCCACAACTGGTTTTATCTTCTTGTATATCATGTTTCTTTGTTTTGATTTTTCCTGAAATCTTGTTTGTGGGTTCTTCTCTCTTTTATTTTTTCCTTTACAATCAAAACTTGTATAACCTTATCAAAGACATTAAACAACGACCTCTTGGTCATGTAGTGGGGTACCCTAAAGAACTTCAGTTAATAAGACCCAACTGACCAGGGGTTCCAAAAATGGTTCCAAATTCTAGGGGCTTTGGGATTCTTCTATCTCTTGACAAAAAATAAATAAATAAAATCTATCAATTGACAGTGAAATAATAAACGTTTTGAATAATATTCCATACCCAAAAAAAAAAAGAAAAGAAAAAAAAGTAAAAGAAAAAGAAAGAACCAACAATGTCATCAACTAATTGAATGAATAGGTAAATAAATAATGGTAGAAAAGGAAAATAATTTGAAGACATGAGAACCATAGGTCTCTCTCTCTCTCTCTCACATACTGTTTGGGTAGATTGGAATTTCAGGTTGTGATTTGATAATCTTTGGCAAAATAATCTAATCGCATTCTTAACATTTTTTTTTTTTTCATTTTTATATTTGGTTTCATCCCCTTCAAAATTAACGTCAAGAATTGTGAAATGAAAGTTTATCCTTACCACAATAACATCTCCTAGGTAATCATTGAATCTGTCACAGAAGCTTCTCATATAATCTGTGTAGACCTGAATAGGCGTTCTTCCTTTAAGCACTGGTGATGAATCACAGCCCAAGGAGATATATTCAGGATTTCTCCGGCTCGATCTGTCTGTATAGACAATGTCAGGATTCTTGCTGATTTCTTCAAGCACCCATGGGGGTAGGGCAATGCTGGAAAAAAAAAGACACGAAAAAGTTTATCAATTTAGGTTGTCTTATTCAAAATCCCAATCAGGACATCCCCATCTGGATTACTGTCTCTTGAGGTAAGGGTTGCTTAGAATTTAAGAGGTAAATGTGAAAATTTGTGACCTAACTCTATAGATAAGAAATTTAATACCCAAAAGGTTATTGCAATTTTCAACTGGGCTAAGAGGTGGAGTGCTGGTGGTGATTAAGGACAGAGGTTGTACAGTTTGAATAGGTTACCTCCGTGGAGGAGGGATACTAAAAATGAAAAGATGGAGGTGAAAGTTGAAACTGGCTTGACCCAAAAAAGAAAACTGAAGATCAAAAAAGTTATACCTGCAAGAGTCTCCAACGTTTCCACCACACTGATGAAACGACATAACAACTTGAAGCTTCAAGCCATGCTTTTGCACCATCTTTACAAGCTCGGCATACCCTTCCCAGTTATAGTTCAAAGGCCCATCTTTTTCTACCAATCCCCACCAAGCGTCAACCATTACTCCTTCAACTCCTGCACTTTTCAAGGCCATCAAGCTGGCATTCATTGCTCGTGGCTTGTTCAAGTTTCCCCCAAATGATACAGTGTCGAGTGGCAGCATCACAAATACGGGCACCCTGGAATCGTTTTTTCCATGAGTAACCGATAACCGGTGAAGCTTTTCCAAGTTCTCGTTTCTCCTCTCTTCCAAATTCAAGTTTCTTTCGCTTGTGAGTTGAGCTTCTTGCATCGAACTCTTTGCTTGGAGATGACGTGATGGCCTGATTTGTGCAAAACAAACCACGCCGGAGAAATCTTCCAGAGTTTTGAAACTTTTGGTATCTTTTATTAAATTACTAAAAGAAGTAGAAGAACGTACTGTCAAAGCCATATTCTATTTTCTTGGTTTTCTGAAGAGATACGAGAGGTGAATGAATGGATGTAGGCAGTTTGTGTCACTATATATAAAGAAAAACTTTGAAAGAGACAATGGTGGTGGGCTCTAGTTAAAAAGGGAAAAGTGCAAAAATCAAGACTAGTCAGCTCACCTCTTTCCACGTTTTCTGGGACCAGAAAAGAGAAGATAAAAAAAAAAAAAGAAGACCTAGTGCATGAGCCTCCCATTAAAATTCAGTTTGGAGAACACAGGATGTCCCTTATCCCATTTTTGGAGAAACTATGGCTCAGTTTGGAAGAGCTTTGGAATTGTGATTCCAGCTCTTAGTTTGCATATGGTATTTGGTTGTGACTTTCAAAAATTAATTCCATACTCACTTTAAAAAACTCAGTTGAAGGCGGGAAAATTTGGGCTAACCGGTCATCTAGCCGGTTGATCGGAACAGTGCAGTTTTTATTTATTTATTTTTATTTTTTGCAATTGACACATGTTAATTTTTATATATTTAACAAAAAATATTTTCTGAATTTTTTAAAATTTTTTATGAGCTTTAATAGAATTTTGAGTTGTGTGTTTGGTTATGAGTTGTAAGTTTTTGTATCAAATATCATATGTTACATCAAAATTTCCCACTTAATTCAAAACTCTTTCACCAAACAAATTTTTCACACTCAAATCATAATTCCAAAACTCACAAACTCAAAATACAACTCTATTATCAAATTATATTTAGAAAATTCTACCAAACGCAACCTATTTTTGTGACTCAGAATCCTCATCACTTGAGTCCATGGTTTTGAAAATTGGACCGGACCAACTAATTCTACCGGTTGAATCAACAACCAGGCTTGGTTCCGGTCCAGGCAACTCACAGTAACCATTTTTTGAATACTGGCTTATTTTGCGAAACTCGTTAATTACCTGTTCAAACCGGTCACAGTTCACTGCAACCGACCAGTTTGAGAGAACCCATTGTGGCTTAATTTATTGCCAAAAGTATTTGAACACCAGCTTTATCATTTTCTTTTATGTTTTTGTATTTGGTAATGAATGTTTGAGGAAATATTTAAGAAAATTTAGGTTTTAAGGTAATTTTTTAAGAATAACGTAATATCTATATTTTTTATTTTATGTATAAATTTTACTTTATTTATGACATCACAGTTTGATTGCGATTGACCCGACATTTGAACTTGTGATTTGACCCAACCTTTTTTTTTCTCTTCCAATTCATGGAATGGTTTGGGTTTCAGACCATTGCTAGAGATGTTAACGAAAAGCACTATTGTTAGGCCAGGCTGCCTTTTCAAGGAAAGAAATTATGTTATCAGGAATTTTAAAATTTAATGGTCACTTTGGGAATTATTCATCGAGTTTGTAATCAGCAGTGTAGTAATTGTACCATTTTGGAACAATAAAAATATTGGTTTAGCTCATAAAATTATTAATTCATCTCATGGATTTGATCAAGTGAAAATGAAGTACCTATAGAGAATATTCTAAATAATACAGGCATCTTGTGATATTCTGAACCAGTTGCCATGTCAACTGCACCTATCATAATCTAAGTTACAAGTGGTCATTTAGCTTGAGTGAGTTCAGTCACTATTAAAGCTTCACGTGGATACATCAGTTCTAAGGACCATGGTAGATATTCTGTTGGGCAATAAACATCGTAGATATTATGTCGGTAGATCAGGTGCTCTGGAAGCTGTCTTCACTTCTTTTTTTGGCCGGTTAAACATGGTAGATATTATGTCGGTTAATTTTCCCTTCCTTCTAAATGTCCTCATTCACATATAGGATTGCTAATTTGTTTGGCATAACTTGATGCGGGGGCAGGGCAGGTGCAAGTGTTATAGATATGAAACCTTTGAAGCATTCACACCCAACCTTGCCTTTGGCCAGGTTTGAACTCCCAACATCTCATATGAGAGTGTTGGGTGATACCATGTGGACTACAAGCCATTGGCTGTAAGTTAGATATATTCACATGTAATCCCACAGACTCGACATTTGTTTCTAATGTCAATTGCTCTCTTCAATATTACTTAATGCCTAATTTTCTAATTGATTTGTCTCCTTTAATGCAGAAATTAGATTGAATTAACTCAAGTGATTTCTCATTTCTATGCTCCTTCTAATCCTTCAAAACTGATGTTATTACTGTTCTTATTTGTTCAGATACAATGGAAAAGAATGAAAAAGAATCGATGAATTTTACTCAGCTAGTTCAATGAAAAATGAATTTTGGTAGCGTCTTTGTTTCCTCCAAGTTCTCAGCCATATCTTTTGGAGTGATAATCAATGGGTGGTTTTGTTTTGCCTCAATCCACCAATCCCCACAAACTCAGACAAGTTCTCGTTGGTATATATGTTTACGGATGCGCTGCATATACATGGATGACACAACTTTCTTTGCTTTTCGTTGGTTTAGGATAAGAATGGAGCGTCTTTCCATGAGGGAAAACATGTGGTGGTGATGAAATCTCTGCTTTCATTTTCTTGGATTTGGTTTTTATTTTTATGACTAAAAGTATCAATAGTTGTATTCTTCTACTGTTCCATCAATCACATGCTTGATTGGCTCCACCATAATTTTAAAGTAACCTCCTAGTCCTTGTGATTAGGATAGCTTTCTGTATTTCCTGTTCACACCAGTGTTTTGAAAGGTGCATGAGGTAGATGCTTTGATACAAGATTAACAAAAAAAGCCAGAGTCTTAAGTTTGAAGTCTTTAAATCCGTAGTGTGAATTGCAGAACAGTGCATGTTTGTGTTTAAGCATCTCTTAAACATAGCTAAAGAGAGTGTTGCATAAAAATAAAAAATTAAATATGACAGTTTTTTGATAAGCCAGCTAAAAATAGTTTCCAAGATCAAATAGCATATGGCATAAAATTTGAATCACGAATGATGTACAAAAGTTGGGTAAGGTTTAGGTGGGGTGACATTGTCTTGTACTTTTGGGATGACCTTTCTATAAGAAAATACATTTGGTTGTACATCAGTAGTTGTAATCTCTTTCCGTTTTTTCACATTGGTTTATGATTTTGTTACAGTGTTTTGAAAACTACTGAAAAATAGATGGACCAAAAGAGTTCCATCTATATGTGTATGGTGTTGGAAATGGTTATAAAATTCTGGATAAAACCAGAATTTTTTCCTAAGTTCGGTCTAGGTAAGGTTTAGGTGGGGTGACATTGTCTTGTACTTTTGGGATGACCTTTCTATAAGAAAATACATTTGGTTGTACATCAGTAGTTGTAATCTCTTTCCGTTTTTTCACATTGGTTTATTATTTTGTTACAGTTTTTTGAAAACTACTGAAAAATAGATGGACCAAAAGAGTTCCATCTATATGTGTACGGAACATTGGTAGATGTAAGCAACTGATTCAAAATAAATCAAATACTCAAGTAAAAAGAATGTAATATTTTTCATGTTTGTATATACATAGGCATGTCTGACATTTTGTACATATTTATTATGGATTTATGTTACTTGGACTCTTATAAGTTTATGGAGTATTCCTGTTAGATACTCGACACTTAGGTATGTGTGTGGGATGTGTCTAATGTGTGTGGTTGGACATTTTGCCTAACAATCATATTTAGTAATTCAAGTACTATAAAACTATGAATAAAATCTTGATATTGTGCATGAAATACTCTATGACACCTTATGAACACCATTTTGCCCTAAAAAAAAAAGAAACTAAATATATTTTGTCATGTCCTTGTGTCCATTGACATGACAATTGGATGAATTGAACACTTCAACATGTATCTATACTTGACGTTAGTATCCGAGCCCATTTTAAATGTCTTAGTATATGGTTATGCCTCTACTTTTTCGCTACAAATTATAGATAATCATGAATAAAGGTAGGACTGCAAACGAGTCGAGTCAAGCTTTAGTATGTTTGGGTTTGTCTATTAAGATTTTAACGAACTCAAGATCGAGCTCGAACTCAATAAAAATTTAACGAACCGAGCTCTAGCCGAGGTGGCTTAGGCTTGACTCGAGTTCAAGTTTGTTTACGAGTCTTAACGAGTCAAAAAATTTATAAATTATTACTTGCGTATGAGATTAAAGTTATAATTAAAATTTTGATTATACATTTATATATACAATGTATATAAACATACTAAAAAAAAAGTCAATATTTTACCAAAATATTAATATCTACTACCACTATTATATAAATGTATTATCTATATATTTTTTTAAATATATAAATAACATATTTATCTTATTTTTTATACATATTTTTACATTATTTAATATATAAATAATAAATATTAAACGAGCCAACTAATGAGCTGAGATTATGAGCCGAGTCTTAGAATGTTTGCGTTTGTTTATTAAAAATTTAACAAGCTCGAGTTCATGCTCGAACGCAAAACAAAATTTAACGAATCAAGTTCGAACAAGCTCTTACCGAGCCAACCTCGAACCTGTTTACAAACAGTTTTGTTCATTTACAACCCTAGATAGAGGTTACTTAATTCATGAAGATACTAGTTAAATTTGCCAAATGATGAATTGTTAGTGAATTGCGTTGTGAGGAATTTTTATTGGACATTGAATTGTGTGGTTTTTAGTCTTTGTATGCTGAAAAGATAATATCGAATGTCTCAACTGTTCAATATTTGATAGTTTTGATGATCTTCGTTCAACATGTAGTTTTATTGAGGCTAGCGGTTGGCCATGTAGTTCTCATGCCTACCAAGACTCTTTCTGTGGAGGGCATTAGACCTTATCTCTTCTATTGTACCATGTACACCTCTCTCTCTCATATAGGGGACAAAAAACATATATTGAGTCGGCTTGAGAGTTGATTAGCTAATGGAAAGTCAATTATAATGATATCAAACTTGTATTTTAAGTTAATGATTCTACTAGAAATGCTATGTACAGAGAAAAAATACTTAAAAGTGTCTAGAATTTGAATTATGTAGATTAGATTTGACATGGATAGGCCCACAAGGCTTACGGTCCACAGCAAACCACTGACATGGATAGACCCACAAGGCTTACGGCCTACAGCAAACCACCCCAAACCCATCGCTTGGGACCAATAGCATAACCCGTTTGGCAAAGCCCAGGACAGCTGGAGGCCATCTGGACATGGAGGGCCAATGGCATTCGGGCACATGGCAGGTGGAACACAGGCCACATCAGCAGACAAAGATTTGCAGAGTTATTGCCACAACACATCACCATTAATGCAGCCCATCACAACATTTATTACGACAACACCTCCCCGTCGGAACAGAGCCCCCTCACCCTGAACAAGGTAAGCTACGGCACAGGCTTTCGGCGGAAGGGGGCACGTCACAAGGGACAGTGAAATGATTACCAAAGGATATAAGCAAGAATGAAAGACAAGAGGAAGGTTAAGGCTCTGTTTGGTTGTGAATTCAAATCAATTTTCAACATGTGAGCTCGCGCATGACGTTTGGATACGACGTTCAAAAGTTGATTCCGCGTGTTAATTCAAATTATATTTTGAAAATCTGTTTGGCAGCTTACATCTCTACTTTCAACGTTTCTGCCTTCTTCATCGTCTCTGCAACTTTCAACAGGTGATTATCTGAAGCTGTTTGGAAATTTGTTTACAACTTTCAACTTTCAACAGGTGAAAATCTGTTTGGAAATCGTTTCTGCAACTTTCAACAGGTGATTATCTGAAGCTGTTTAGAACTCTGTTTACAACTTTCAACTTGCAACAGGTGAAAATCTGTTTGGAAACTGAGTGTGGTGTGAGGTGGGATGACCGGCCGGTAGACCTCCCGGTTGTCCCTACCGACTTCCAACAAGTGATTATCTAAAGCTAAGGTTCAGAAGGTTCAGGTTGTTTTTATTTTTTTTTATAGAAAGACTGAGGTTCAGAAGGTTCAGGTTATTTTTTATTTTTATTTTTATTTTTTACTTTTTATTTCTTATCTATTATTTTTTTATAATATTAATAATTTTTATTTAATATTACATCCGTATACTGAGTTACTAAATTAAAACGTGTAATAAATGAGGAAAAAAATTGATAATGTTTTGTAAGGTTTACGTTATGATTTGTATTTTAAAATATTACACTTAGTGTATTTATATTAATTTTTATTAATATGTATTCTCAAAAGTTGTTGACTTTAACAAATTTTTTTAAAAAAAATAAAAAACGTATTGTAGAAGTTGTTTGTACAGGCATAAAAAATGAATTGATAGAAAATTTAATTGACACAAAATAATTGACATAGATTTATTTTAAAATGAAAAAAAAAATTTGGGAAAAAAATTATTCAAAAAAAATTACTAAAAAAATTAATTTTAAAAAAAATCAATTTTTAATTTCGGTATTTTAAAAATAGTTTGGTTATTATTGTTGATAAAAAATACGGATATCGATATATGAGTTGTGTGTTTGATTATAAATTATTGATTGAATTAAGTTTTGAAAACTATTTTCAAAACACATCACCAAACAAATTTTCTTATTTCACATGTCACATCAAACTTTTAAAACTTAATTCAAAACACATTTCAACACTTTATTTAAAAATCATAACCAAATAAATTTTCTACACTTAAATCATAATTCCACAATACACAAACTCAAAATATAACTCATACTCTCAAATCACATTTACAAAACACAACCAAACGCAGGCTAAGTTTTTCGATCTCTCTCTCTCTCTCTCTCTCTACATTTTCCTTCTTCCTCTACTAATTCGCTCGCCGAAGGGTTCACTGGGGGACTACCCCGTTCCCCTTTGGACTTGTTCGCAGGTCATCTGGAGGAGTCATCTGCCTGAATCGAAACTTGAGGAGCTTGGACCAGCCCAGCCCATCCACCCAGGACGAACTGCATTATCAGTTGGCGCCGTCTGTGGGAAACTGTGGTTTATTCGTGCGCTAGTTGTGTTCACTATCGCCGGAGCCCTCTTTCCTCACCGTTACCTTTTCCTCTCACCCGTCCAGATGTATGGTCACGACTAGATCCATGGCTTCTCACCATAATACCGCCGATCATCAAACAGACCCTTCCCATCCAAACAACCCACCACAATACATCATCGAACTCACTAACAGCATTAACCGCATGGCCGAGCAAAACCAGGCCCTAATCAGTGCTTTACTCCAAAGAAACCTCCCCGTTCCACCTCCAGATATTCCACCCAACCAAGAAAGAACGCCGGGCCACACTGCTCCACAACCCCCTCCGCTCAACCCAGAAGGTTTACAACCCCCTCCTCCTCCACATATGAGCCTACCACCCCCACCTCCACGCCTGTCAGTCGTAGCACTAGCCCCTGAGGGGGAAGCCAGCAGTGTCCAGCCTCCATTGACCTACCATGGCGACAACATTCCCCTCTGGGACGCTGAACTCCGAGCTATGAAACTCCAACTACAAGGGGTCATGCAGAACATTCAGCACAAGCCCTCAGTCACCGCTAACTCGCCTTTTGTTGCCTCTATCCGCGACAAACCATTGCCCGCCAAGTTCAGAATGCCTACCATTGACTCCTTTGATGGCACGACGGACCCAGTCGACCATCTGGAAACCTACCGCACCCTCATGATCCTCC